GGACAAATCTCTGAATTGGACAGGCCCCATCCTCCGCCTACCACACTTGCAGTACTCGAGGTATTAATATTATAGCATACTGGAGCAGTTGATAGCACTTAATGTACCATAGAGAAATATTTCCTATTTCTGCCGAAGTCCGTGTAAATGAAGACTACTGCTCTGTGCCCCTGGGTTACAGTAAGAATCTGTTATATCCTCCTAGTGCACTAGGTTTGGAACAAATCCCTCACTTGTGGGATAGTGCCTTGGTGTAGGCTGCAAGCCAGAGAAGTACGACAGGTGCTCTGGTTATGGTGTTGTTTCTCTAGCAGAGGGTCTTCTCTCTGCAAGTTCTTTATAATGGCTCTGTGTGCTCATTCTTCAAGTTATATTTTGGTGTGACATCAAGTTGCAAAATTAGTCCTTCTATTGCAGTACTTGAATTTATTCCTACCCTTTTTGAATCTGAAGCCTGTCGCTTCTTTCCCTCTGCTGAGGTGGGAACAGAAAGAATAATTTAAATGTTTTTTACATTTCAGATTGTGCTGTGAACGTCCACAAGAACTGCAAGAACTTGCTGGCTGAATGCAGCACTGCCAGGCCCAAGGTAAGGTTTCCAGTTTCCTTGCCCATATAAGACAGAAATAGCAGCACTTGTCCAGTGTGCTGAATTCAGTTGAGCTCTCCTGATGCACGTCCTCTGAAGTTTGGCCTTACATTTCCAAAGCACAGACTGGTTAGTGCTGGTCTCTTTTAGTATCCTCCAGTGGAACTGCCACACAAGGGATGATGTACCTGAGGCCACCCCACATGTGTCAGACCTGGATGCAATCCCAGGAACGCCTGCCTCAAGCCTGTTGCTTGTTCCTGGAATATGATGTCTGTTCCTCTGCCTCCCCACCTTTAGGGAAAAAAAGGACACAGTCTTAATTTTTGATACCCCTGGTTTTCTTGCTGCTGTGTAGATAATTGGCAGCATAATAGTCTTGTTCCACCCTTGAGAAGATCATGTGATAGGGAAGAAGCTCGAACAGAATAGCTGCATGCAACTTTAGTCTGAACAATGCAGGAATAATGGTTTCATGTTCTGAACTCTGTTTTTTGAATCTTTCCAAACTATGGCTCACAAGGTGTCTAGCCAAGCTGTTTATTTCTGCTTCTCTCTCTCCGCAGCGTGACAAGGTGTAAGGTCACAAGTCAGCACAACCAGCTATGCACATGTCTCTTTTGTAATCCAGTTTAGTGTTTCCTGCTAAGAACCATGTGCAGGTTTTTTGCTGTCGGGCTGTGCGATGACTTTGGAGGCTGCTAGCAGACATAAGGAGAGGATTGAGGGAGGGAGGTAGACACATCTGCCCTTTAAATGAGGAGAAGAGGTTATGTTCAGCTCACTGTGATTTTAAATGCAACTGTCCTGAGGGCAAAACTGTTCTTGTTTTCACACGTCTAAGCTTTTTAAAGTCATTATGTGATTTGTTTTCAAACACACACATCGAATTGTTCCTGCCCTCAGGGCCACAGAGATCTTGCATTTCCAGTCAGAACTTTTTAAGACTTAACCGTGCTGCCACAAACCATCCCCAAGAAGGGAGAGGGGAGGCTGAAGATGAAATGAGGAAAGGGGCAGAAGGCAAAATAATGAAATGCAGTGAGATCCATCTAATAACCACATTACA